CACACACACACACACACACACACACACATTAAAAGTATTATTTGCATCTATTTCCCAATCCATTTTTTTTAAATGACCTGTTCTTCACACTAAATCATCCTCCCAGAGGACAGGATGTCCTTGTGCAGGATATGAGCTGCAAACAGTTAAGCAACGTTGCATATGTTGGAGAAACAGTGTAAGAAAATGTGACTAATTTCCTTCCAAATGTGAATAAAAGTATTTAAAGTCATAGAAACAATAGCTTACTCTAATCTAGCTTTTTTGTGTGCGATCAGATGTGTTGCAGTTGACAAATATTAAAACCAAAACTAAAACCAAGTATGGGAGTGATGTGAAACCTAAACATTTCTATTCCAGATCACAGTGTAGAGACCTGATCACTACTGCGCAGACACTGGCTCCAAATGTGAAAGAGGACATTCCTCATATCCGGGATATTTGTACTTAATTTCTGTACAGTGGGAGGATAGTGCTCTATGAACTAGATTTAAAGTCTCGACCATGTTAGCAGTGCTGTGAGGCTGCACTTAACTGTGTACAGTTTGTATTCTGCTGTCAAAGCTACATTTTAGTTTCAGCTCTGCGTACCCTCATAGCACATTAACAGCTCAGTAAAGATGTTGCCTAATGCCCTGATATTGTCACCAAGTCATCTGCCGCTAAGTGCATGTGGATAAACACAGTGCTGCCTGTGTTATTGTATTATCTCAGCCATTTCAGTTAAGATTGGTTTACATGAAGCTGAATGATTTCACAAGTCTCTTTGTAAAGATAATCACTCATCAATTTTGACATATTTTATTGTAGGCATAAATTTAGCCATGCTTTGTTTAAAAGGCTCTTGGCTGAATGGAAGTGAGGTTTGGGGGTTGGCTGGCAAACAGCAAGCAGCAAGATACCATAACAGACAGCAAGCAGGGACATGTAAGGGAAAGACATGATGGTGAAGGGTAAACACTGCTCAGGCCTTCAGAACTCAGATTTCTCTTTTCTTCCTTTGCCTCTTCCTCTCCTCCCTGTCTGAAGAAAGATTATGTGGAGGCTGACCGCAATTAGCAGCAAATGTGTCGAGGAGTGAGGTGTTTCCAAGAGCAACATGTCGCAATTTTACATGTACCTGTGTGTGTGTGTGTGTGTGTGTGTGTGTGTGTGTGTGTGTGTG